TATCCACCTCCGGGTGCGGGAGGCGGCCCTCCGGAATTTCTCACGGGCCCTCCTGGACAGGGCCCCCCTGCACCTCCTAGCGGTAGTCCTGGAGAGTTCCTAGCACCTTCAGGTACGATTAGATTCTTTTGAAAGGTTACGCCTTTCTGACCACTAGAAAATTCATTCTTTATCCTTGCTGTACCTCCGTCACAGTCATTTTCTGTTTCGTTGATTATATTATAAGTACAAAGGTAGTCACTAGTATTATAGTAAAATTGCGATACGACGTAACGAGATTTCGAAGCAATAGTATGGGGTGTTAGAAACATAAACTTAGCATTATTATTAGGTCAATCCCACGAGTAATATCGTTTCTTACTCGCTTCGAATTCCAAATAAACGCGCGTATTATGCTTCGTTCATGCTTTTATAGCAACTTCGTCCTTTGTTTCTTAAAGGGTATCATGCGGATGGTTCGTAACGGGCGTACGAAACAGTCGGATCGATATTTTTCACGTTGAAAGAAGTTATAAAATACGCGTCGGCGGAAACTATTCTCGACGAGCTATATAAATTTTAAAAAAGCGATATAACCAATGATACTGTTAAAAGGAATCGCGAGGTACACGGTGACTGTATCCCGAATGTGAGAAAAAGTCGAAAATGGTTTCTAAGTGGCAACAAACGAGCCGAATGAGTTTTTTGATTCAAAATCACAAAAGTTTGTCGAAGATAAAATCGAAAAGTTAGTGGAAAAATGGGAAAAGGTCAAAGAGAGCGATGGTCAATGACATGGATGACCAAAAATAAACGTAGGTATTAATTTTGTCCACATATTCGGAGACAAAAAACGACGTTATTTATGGGACGACCTAATATAACAGAGATATTCGAAGTAAAATACACGAGAGACACGGTCGGGGATAAAAATAAGTGGACATGTAATTGAAACAGGTATCGATGAAGTTTCGTTAAATCCGGCCGGTTTACGCAAATATGTAAATATTAATTTCTATTATTTACTAAATAATCTATGTACTATAAGGCTATGTAATAAATAAAACTAAAGTATAACGCTGGTACTGAGATCGATTAAATTTCATTGATACCTATTTCCCCATCACATATTTTTCTCTTCGATTCTATAAACGAGATAAAATAAGACGTAAATCTCGTAAAGTAAGATATACAAACGACACGAAGTATTACATAATATGTCGTAGACGAATTATCCTGTAAGATCAGGATCTTTCTAACACTCCATAATGTTGGATGAAAGACAAGGTTGGTTTCGTATCTTTTTCTTTTTTCTTTCGGATCCCACGTTTCTCGGGATAAATCGAAGCACCGAAAGGAACCGATTCGATGGGTTTGATATTTCTCAGGTGGAGCACAGGGTAATCCCAGTGCCGGTGGGAATGGTGGCGGTCCAGGTGGCGGCGGCGGCGGGGGTGGGTTCCTGGAGCCGCACCAGATGCAGAGCGAAGGGCTGGCCTGGTAGTACGAGTTTTAATTAACGTTCATTTCTTTTCGTGTTTTGTTGCTTTCCATCAGCCGAGCGAAAATCGATCGAGTTTCGGCGAAAAATCGACCGGTCGCGCGCACCTGATGGAGAGACCGTACGACTTTGTTCCGGCTCCAGAGACTTTTGCCCGCGAACAAAATGTGGCGAGAGTCGTTCACGTCGAGCCACGTCGATTTTGCATCTTGTACGTTACGTTTCTGTAAGATACGCATATGATAAGACGACCGATCGTTTAGCTTCGTTTCTTTCACGGTTATCATTGTCATTATTAACATTATTATCTGTATTATTATTATTAATATTATTATTATTATTATTATTATTATTATTATTATTATTATTATATTATTATTGCCGTTGGTCAAACACCAGCGCGTTACTATTTTATTATTATTTTTATTACGATTACGAATCATTAAATATTATTATTAATATTATTGTGTATAAAATTTCGAAATGTCCTATCGTGTAATATTATACCCTCCCTGTTGATTAATTTTCGACGTTACTTTAAGAGACATCCTGTAGATATCTGCTGTTCTACACCTGAGAAACACGTACGAAAGAGACACGTAAAGATCATCGGAAAAATAACACGACGTACATCTGGATATACGTAAAGAGACACAGCATTACAGAATACGAACAGGTACACCGCGTACAGACGACACACACACAGTACACATGCGTAATTCTACACTTAAAAACCGCTGTACTATTTATCAATAAAGTATAAATATAAATAGGAATGTGTAACCTGTAACTGTTAAGGCGGCGATCGATGTAAATAAATATAAATCTGTCTTTTTTTGCGGGAAGCGCGCGATACAATTAGTCGACTGATTTCCGTCACTGAACTGTGTAATTGTAACTTGCATTACCAACGTCTTACGAGAAAAAGAGACACGCCGCCACGATGCATAATGATTATAAATATTATTATAATAAACCACCTCGTATTTCCGTATACGTACAGTTGTGTGCATTTCTTGCCTTTCGTTATCTTTTTCTCTCTACCCGTAGAAAAGATTGTGCGAGTAGGAGTCGCAACATCAGAGACCACAGGAAAATGGTAAGTAAATGTTTGCGTTAAAAATAAATAAATTGATATACAGTGTCTTACGAGAGCATTCGAACACTCGTGGAAACGATTAACGAATATATCGCCGTTATAACCATGTCCGATCATCGTGATTACGTTGGAAAAACTTGAAAATGTGCGCATGATATACAAAATATTTAGCGCAAGTATACGTTTCGATACGCGTCGACATTCGACGCAATTAACTTTAACGCTTGTTACATGTTTGACATTCTTGCTGCGCGCTACTTTTTTACCAAACGTTTTGAAATCTCAAAATATCTCACGTAACAGCTACGACATACAAAACTTTTCTGTGCCAAGCGTTCGAATACTTTCGTCAGCCACTGTATCACGGTTGCGCGACGAATTACATTGGAACATCCTTCGCATCTTATTTTTGAGTTTCTCAAACTTGTGGTTGCAGTTGTTAAACCTTCGCGTTTGCATGGCGAGGATATCCGAACGTTTATTCCTAACACGTTCTCGTCCCCATCGAAATCTCAGTTTCTTTCGTCCCCAGTGGGACAAACACCTGAGACTGTCGATACTCGAGTCTCGAATACTTTAGCCCGCCACCCCTTAAATCGCTGTCCGCAAACGCATCTGCGACTCAGGGGTCCTAGCTTTGGCCTAACATCGTTAACGGGTGCAATGTCGTTTTCCACGTTGGAGAGGGTGCGGGAGATTCGTTTTCCTGGACATCTGGTGAATTCGATTTTGATGTGTTTCTGCCCTCCGGGGGTTGTACGGCTCCTCGGGGCTGCAACTCCGCCGTTCCCGTATCCCTGACAGTCCCATTGGGGACAGAAACGTTGCCGTGCTACGTCTCGTCCGTGTGTTTCGAGCGTTACAAGCGTGTGTACACACGTGCTATCGACCCCCGCGCGACCGCTCCTACAAGTGTGTCTCCCTTAAGTACTTACGTAGTGTCTGTGGTCCGCTGTCACAGTTTACCATCGTGTCCCCAGGTAGCTATGTATTTTTCAGTGGCGCGAAAACGTGGCGCCGCAAACGCGACCGAGCACCTCTTTAATATTGCAGCGAACGTTTGTCTTCCTGACGAGTTTCTGGGACATGCTCGTTGACTGCTAACTATTTCTTCTTTTTCTTCTTACATTCTGCCAGCGAGTTTACGTCTTCTTTCATATCTCCTCTTCCTCTACGCGTTATTCCTATTCGTTATATACGTGATTCGTCTTATAGACGTTACGGATGGATTTTCGGTGAACTTTGTAGTACTCGGAACGATTCTTGAATGTTTCGCGAGAAAGGAAAAGACGATCATCGAGGTTCTGTTGCACGGATTTCCAGTAACATAACAGCGAGATTTTAGTTAATTAGAAATTATTAATACCGATAGATTGCCTTACGCGAACGATAATCAACGACCGTGGTAATAAAATTGGAGCATCGTTGTCGATTAATTAGCAATAAATTGTATAAAAATAACGATATTATCGAATAGCGACGTTCGAATAAATCGTAGAAATGACAAATAACCGTATCGATTCGATTCAAAATTAAATACGAAAGACGAATTCACAAGCTACGACTCGTCGTTCGTCGATTCGTCAACGTTGTTAACAAATTGATACACACGGGTGCGAGAGTTAGCGTAGCGGCCAGTTGCTTTAAAGTTAACGACAGCAACGATCCGAGGGTGAGATCGTTTTTCTGCAAAGCGTCCTCTAAATCTTTTCATCCCTTGTCGAGCTACGTAGCCGCGTCCTCGCGGGAGTTTATCATGGAATTTAACCGGATAGAGTACCGACCAACGTACAGCGTGTGTACATTGTAACAGCGATTCGCAGGGCGAAGGGCGTCAGCGTAGCGTGTAATACGTGTCCTGACGGATCTCTTGCAGAAGATCCATCGGCAGATTCGACAGATGCGTGCCCGCCTCCGCGCCCCAGGAACTACCACGGGGGTCTCGCGGGAGTCTTGCAGAGACAAACCGTCCCAGCGGGTCGGTATACACCCTACCGTATCATTTTCGTTACCCTCTCGTTCGCGTAAGGAGCATTTCGGCCACGGAGGAATTCTCGCGCAACGATTCTACGAATTAAATCTCCATCTCGTTCTAATATGTTTGATACAAACGTCTCTAACAAACAAACTATCCGCGTGACAATATTTTTTCGATCTACCGTAGCAACAGATGCGGAGGATTTTCTATCTTTAAAGAAGCAGAACGTTTCGATTTGCATCAAACGTGCGAAGAAGCAATGCACGTTGTCTCAAGAATTTGTATATCTGATCGTTCCGACATACTTGTCAGAACGACGGTCCATTGGAGCATGGTCCATTCGCTCGCCTAAACCGTGGCCTTGTACGTTGAACGAATGTCGAACTTGTAGTTAACACTTACGTAGGCGACCAGCAGTTAGCCGACAAATGCGTAAGAAACTTCAGCGTTTAAAACTTTTGCGTAAATTACGATGCAAAAGTTTGCAAGAGGTTGCGAGTGTTTTCATTAGAAAATGAAAGATCGTTGAAGGAGATATAGAAACGATTACGAGGGTTGGCCAGGCTGGAATTAAAGGAGAACGCGAGATGCGTTTGGAAGACCAAGATGCGGAGAAGGGGATCGTGTCACAGTCGAAAGCGTTCCGAACGCTCACGTGCCGGAGCACGTGTCGGACAACAAGCCCCTGTCGTGCAAACCCTCGCGTCCTTCTTCTATCATTACGCAAGGAGGCCTTACAAATCATGGCGGGCTTACCGCGCACGTTCCAACCCCAGCGCTCGTCACCGGCACGAATTAACGTGGCAAAGCTACCAATTAACCCTTGCTGTTGCCGTTTGATCGGCGCGATTTCCTCGGCAAACCGGCATCGATTATACCGTACGTTGCTTCGTAACGTTTTCCAGTCATCGGCCGTCCGGCTCGTATCGTCCCGTAAGAAACGACAATACGTCGATACGAGTCAATTACGTGTCATTGAGCGTCGTATAATTTCGGATTATTTGTCTGCCTTTGAGAAACCTTTTGAATCCCGTCTATTGTCGTATACGCTTCTGATTCGATTCTTCCGCGAACCGACTGTTCTTGGAAGCGTATAATATTCGTGAAGGAATATCGGGACGACGAGCGGATGTACAATGGAAACGTCTAGCGGCCGTTGTCACCGATCGGAGACGAGACGCGGATGAAACGTGTCTTTTTCGTGGCGCGTAGACCGACTTATTTTCGTCTCGCTTCAACCGGACAGACGGTAGAAGTGTCCAGAACGACCTCCTGGTGTTCAGGCTGGGCTTAGGCTAATCCGAAATCCGGATTACTCGTGCCTCAGCTGGTCCAGTCTTACGGACACGTCGTGTAACAGCGATAGCTGTTCTCTTCTTTTTCTTTTCTTTTTTCTCAAGTATTAAAGGTCTCGATCTTGGCCGTATACGAATTTCGTTTCGGTAGGAAAAAACTGGCCGTTCCATTCGTTTCCGAACTCCACGTTTCTCGTCAAGAAGAAACGATCTGCATAAATATACTTATGCTAATTGCTCCGGATTGTCCGCCCGTTGATCCGTAGATCTGCTGAATCACGTGCACACACGCACGCGGTAAGAGTGGCCCTGTACGAGTGGCTGGCCCCGGAACGGAAGTTCTTATGGCATTCCTATTACCGAGACACCCGGCGACGTATGTAAATAACGTCGCTATGTGAATCGCTTTATTTTCGCCTGTAAAGTACCTCCCTGGTTTATTCGTCGTATACGCGTCTCGGGTTCGATGGTACGGCGCGTGTACGCGAATTTTAAACACGCGAGGAATTTTCAAACTTCGTCCAGTGTAAATAGGCGTCGAAATCTTCCGTTACGCGCGTATCGTATTAATACCATAAATTATAAATACGATCGCTGGCTTCTTTCTTTTTCTCCGTGCATTTTAATTTGACACGAAGAACGGCGAGAAACGTCACGTCACGCGTCTTTCCTCTTACATTTCTCAGTCGTAGTCGCGTGCGCGTATCTACCCTCTCGGCCCGCTTATCGGTACTTCCACCCTGCCTCGGTGGCGAGATAAGTATTTGCTATTTAAAATACCAGTCCTCGTGGCGTGGGCCCCAAGATAAACTGTTCGTACATCTAGGAGAGGGTAAACGGCGTGAAAGAGAACGAGAGCGAGAGAAAAAGAGGGGTTGATTATAAACCGAAGGCAGCAGGCGGGGAGAAGGATGACGGTGAAGGGCGGTGGAGTGTGCAGCAACAGCAACAGCAACAGCAGCCACGGCGGTCCAGCGCGAGGGTGGTTTATGGGGGGTTGTACCGGGTATTGTTGTATAAATAGGTTTGGCGAGTTAGGGGTTGCTACCCCCGAGGGAACTGCACATGTCCGCATCGATTATACCACCCCTTCCTGACCCCCCTCTGTTCTTCCATCTCGCTTCTACGGTTCGTTTCTCTCTCTCCTTACGGGCCTCTTCTCGATTCTCTGCCACCGGTGGGTGGTTTCAAACCCCCTCTGTCGTACAACGTGTCTCCATCCCTCTCTCGATTTTCCCTGTCTTTTTCCCTCGGCCACCCTCGTACGTCCATCGAAAGCTTTCTCCCCGCGGAGCCCACGGGGCACACCGCTCGGTTATTTTCAAGCCATTTGCTTTGTAAACGCACGCAATCTCGACCAGCCACCCTCTCCCTAGACTTCTTCTCCGCCAAAATCTCACCCTCCTCGCACCGTATTACCTCTTGCGAGAAAAAACTTTGAATACTTTTTCAGCGACCGGTGATCGCCGATTCCGGAATAAAAAAAGGAAAAAAGATAGAAGTAACGCGAACAGGTGGCAAAACTTTCTGAAAATCGCTCCCTTTTCTATCTACGTGTCCATTGTTCTTCGTGCGACAACCCGATGATAGAACGTCAAATAGTTTAGGACCGAGTTCCGAGGTC